CCCTACATAGATATCTCCCGCGAACCCATCCCTCAAGGCATTCCTTGTCATCACGGACTTGGCCACTGGGTATACACTTCTGTGCGGTGCGGAAGATGTCAGAGGAAGTACGACGGCTAAACTGCTGTATGGCTCGTGGGTGAGTATCTTTGGTGTACCCCTTAGTGTTACCGGGGACAACTTCATCGACTCGCCGTCACTGCGCACGCCGCTCCTGTCCTGTGGTGTGCGCTTCAACACGGTCCCGGCATACTCACCATTTTCGAATGGCAGTGCTGAGGAAAGGGTCGGACGTGTCAAACGCGTCCTCCCGACAACCAAACTGCCATGGGATCAAGCCTTACCTTTTGTCCAGTTGTCGATCAACTCCCAAAAGCGAGTCTCTGGCCATTCGGCGGCGGAGCTCATGTTTGGCACGCAAATCCGTACTCCTTCTGCATCGGTCCTATCTGCCATCACAAACAATACGCCCATCGTCCACATCGGAGATCTTGAAACATTAGCTACATCTGCTGAGGTACCAGAGGCCCTCAGGGAAGTTCTCAAGAGCTCGGTGGGCGCGGCTCGAATCTCCACTCTTCAAGCCCACGTTCGGGACTGCCTTCGAGCCTCTGCGTCTCGGCCAGGTCGTCCACTGAAAGATGGTGAGCTCGTGGTGTGGCGCCGTCCTGAGTCTCGACCCGTTGAAGGAACGGTCAGATTGGTCAGTGGCGTCCATACTGAAGATGGTCCCTTCTGCTACCTTGGATCGTTGGCTGGTTTCGTGACTAGGTTACACCCACTAGGCAGCCCACCTGGTCACTCTGTCAGCGTTTCTGCCTGTCATCTGGAATCCAGGCATGCCTTTGTAGAAAGAGACCGTCCAACTATGGCCGTTGAAACCGAGATCCCCTTCACTTCGATAAAACCTGGTCAGGTTATTCTTGCCAGGCTGTCGTGTGGTGCTGATGCTATCGGAAAGGTCATGGCCGAAAGTTTCGGCCCGAAACTGACAATGACGATACTGTCGCTCATGGCTCACTAGTGGTCCAGATCTACGACTCGCATGATGGCAATAAATTTTTCCCGGTGTGGTTATCTCATGACGGTTCCACTTACGCTGGTGACACTCCGGAAAACGCTCAGCGGGACAGTCCGCTCCTGCGTACGGTGTCTTCGGTACTCATGCGTATCAATCTGACTCCGACGAACATGCTCAAGGACACCTCACGCGCGGC